GGGTATATACAGAGTAACTCACCATCCCCTGGTGGTAACAAACACAAGTTGGCAGGCACGATGACTACCATGAGAATCCCAAGTGTGTAGAAGGGCAGTCCAAACCCTCCTACCTAGAAAAAGCAAGCTTTAAAGGTGAACTGTTGAAAGGGAATGTACTGTATCAATAGCATTTGCACAGCTTTACTGACTGAAAGAAAGAATGCTTTCAAAGGCAACACATTACAAGCCAGACTAGAGATCAATATATGAAATAAAGCACCCTTTTGGTAAAACTGATCTTACAGAATAAACAACTTCGTAGTTTTCAAAAATTATTCATCTGTTTTAACAATTCATAGAGAAAAAGATCTGGTTGGAAAACCCGAAGGATGTTCCACATCATTTATGAAGTCATCAGCAAGGAATAAAAGGGAAATTAAATATTGGAAATGTCTTTGCAGGTTGCATTATATTTGTAACTGACACAGAAGCAAAAGCCTTTCCCTAGATAAGTGAACGACATAAAATACTATGAAATGAAAACAAATGCTGTGACAGAAACAAAAATGTCATATAATCATATGTATACATGCACGTAGTACAAACGTTATCATTATAATGCATGTTTCACAGGACATAAAAAATCCATAAGAAGCATAATAGTGTTATATACCAGACTGATTTGAACTAAAATTATTTTCACCCAACAACTTCAGGTGTAGATGGCCCACCCTCCCAAACAAAATGCTATTGAAATCTGATTTATAGTTTTGGAAATTAAATTTGCAGAAGGAAAAAAGGGACAGACTTGCAGAAGGAAAAAAGTGACAGACAGGCAGAAGAATATGTTAAACTGATTCTTAAGAAAGTTTATTATAGTGAATTGGAATAATTATGAATGTCAGTGATGATGGTGACAGAAATAGTCTCCAAAATGTTGATTTTGACTCAATGAAGAGACTGATCACCCTAGAGATTTTATAACATTCATGTGCTGTGAAAGTTTTAAATCTTATGTATAATATTTGTTGACATAAAAATGAATGGAAAAAATAAACAGTTCCATATAAAACACGCATGTAAACAAAACTATTTACACTTTGAAGGACACTAATGCCATGTGTTTTATATTCCAATACACTACATGATATGCAAGGTTTTAAGATAAACAGTTCCACTTACCGAGTACAGAATTCCACCAAGTGCAGGTCCAATACTCATTCCTAACCCAACAAAAGTCTCAAGAATTCCCTGTAAATAGAAATATTAATTGAAGACGAAGAATAATTATTAGAAAATATCCCATTTATATTTCCTACAACTTCTGAAAATGTAAAAATAATTTGTTTTTTTGGTTTTAACCATTAACCAATCTACCACAAAATTCATGTTACTATACAAAACCAGTTGTGCTATAGGGGTAGAAGGGAGTTAAACTACTAGCAGGATAACCCAGTTACACAAACCAAAATATTAAATAGTAAATAATAGTGTGGCAAACAAAATATAAATTTTCCAATCTCAAAACCCAAAAGGAATTTTAATACCTATATTATCCACAAACCAGTTCTATACCAAAAAACACCAGACAGCCATACCATCATTCGAGTCTGAACAAGTCGCAGTCAAGCCCTGCATACACTTTACTCCTCCAGCACCCAAACAGCCAGTCCGTGTGTGCTGTGTGTAGATCAGTTATCTTCTCTCTACCATGCCTCGACAGATGACTGTCCTTTACTCTCTCCCTATCCAAGCAATGACCCTAGTCCACCACCTCATATTAAGTCATAACCTTTCATTTGACTGTTTTATGTGCTAACAGCAGTAGAGTGAAAGGTTATGCTGTTCAGTTAAGATTTACATGGCTGTGTGGGTATAATGTAAGACAGGACTGATCCAAAATTTCCAACGATGCAGAGAATCCTCCATCTAACAATATGTAATGAGAGTTCCTTGACAAGAAGTACTCTGCAACACTGAGGGTAGTCTGATTTTCTTCATCTGCCAGTATGATAGGAAATGTATAAAAAACTTAAAATAAATCACAAAATTAATTCCAGAAATGCTGTGAAAAGTGATTTGTTACATAACAAATATTCCAACTAAACCCACAAAAAGTTACAGCTCACCTTCTCTGTGGTCTTGCTTTCTTCTTAGTTCGCAGGAGATTTTTGATAAAATGTGTAACATATGGTACTTTGTTGCCTAAGAAATACTGGCCTGTCTCACAAATAGACCTTCCACTAATGTGATTCTGAATGTTAATAAGTTTTCTTCCCAAAGTTCTCCATCTATCATCATAAAGGCATTCGGACTTATGGTATGTAAGAAGTCTGCAAAATTATTTCATGTATTTCCCTCAATCACATCCTTGGTCCTTCGTGCCAATCTCACACATGTACTGATTATCACTGAACATGCAAAGCAGTTTGACTTTATTTAATTGTGATTGCCACAGTTCTTATTTAATGATCCTGATATGCGGAAATCACTGACAATTGTCTTGACAAAGGAAATGGAGTGTTGTGTTATCAGTGCTTCTTTCTTCAGCTTCTTATCTTTCACATATTCTTTCAAAAAAATTGTGGTTATTTTTCAGTTTTATTCCTTGGGCATAGTCATACATGTTTTGGCCATAGAGGTTGAATTGTAGTAGTTTATAAAATCCAGCTCTATTCTGATAGATATGCCAACAGTTTCAGAACCATACCTCATTGTTTCATTTCTGTCTGTGATCAAGGGTGATTCCAGTTTTTTTGTTCTTGCTTGCTTAAGGAAAGACCATAAGTACAGCCACTGACAGAAATGTATGACAGCAGACGTGAACTGTTTCAAAAACTAATAAAACCTGCCATGACAGGTAATCTCACACAGGTGTAAGGTAATGAAATATTTGACTTTATCCATGTACATTAAACATCACATTGAACCAACCTACTGATATAACAAGCATGCTTACAAGAACAGATCCAATGTTATCTGGGAAGATATCGACCACAAACACGTAACTAGCTGTGGCATATGCGCTTGCTCCCAGTGCTTCCATCCCACGGACCAAAAAACAGTATATTGTAAAGGTTGGGAAATTCTCAATGTATACCAACATCCTACAGGACAAAAGAAGAACATAAACAGCTTTTCAAAGAGTCTGTTAATAAAAGTAACAGATGCAATGTTAGTGTGAAAATAATATATTTTTCATAAATGGTAGCCAATTTTAACCTGAAGATTTCTGTCTTCTGGGTTATTGCGCTGTGTAGTCTGGTCGATGTTAACCAACGTTTCAGAGGTCATACTGCCTCCGTCATCAGGGCGATGAATATGAAGATTTCTGTCTTCTGGTTTGTTGCGCTGTGTAGTCTGGTCGATGAATCGCCCTGATGACGGAGGCAGTATGACCTCTGAAACGTTGGGTAACATCGACCAGACTACACAGCGCAATAACCCAGAAGACAGAAATCTTCATATTCACCGCTGTGAGAACCTCAAGTCTTACAATTTTAACCTCATTCTTGTGATGGATAACTGGTGCTGTGATAAAAAAAATACTTAAAATGTTGCTCCATTCTATGCTACTGAATATATTTAATCCTTGCAGAATGAGTTAAACGTACTTCATCCATGTATAGTTAATGACTAGATCTCTACTTCATAATCATGACACTAAGTCTAAAATTAATTTTTTGGTGAACAGCTTTGAAGAAATACATTTATCAGTACCATAATGGCCACACAGATCACAGGGAATAGTCTGACAGGATAAAATCGGGGGCCATGTTATCCAGAGGTCTTGTGGGATCACCTGATCTCCAAAAATTTAAAAGCATTGCATTCAGTTGTATATGGACTCCCACAGCAACCACTTTCAGCCCTTACATGCAGGGATGCAGTTTCATCAGGACTGAGGCATGTACTTATACAACATTTGATCACATGAACAGTGGAGAAAGGATGTTGTAGTTACTGAATTATTTGGCAAAACAGCACTGCACTCACCCAAACAATAAGTTGCAACTTCCAGCCACAAACATGCCTGACATAAAAAGGAACTTTGCTCCAACACGAGGTAACTGTAAAAGTTAAAATATGATGCTGCAATTAAATTTACATTTGTAGTTCAATGCTACAGTAAATGAATTAATCATAAAGTAATTATCTTTTCAATGCCACTTACAATCTTTCCAAATAATGGTGATGAAACAAACATAACTAATGCATAAAAACTGAAGACAAGGCCAGATATGGTCTCCGACATCCCCTTCCGAGAAGCCTGAAAAAAGTCAATAATTACAAATATGGTGATAGCACACAACTTTGACACTATCTGACAAATTTAATGTAGTCAGAACTAATTAACTCCATGAAGCAGAGACATTCTTCAGAAGCTAACAGTTGCTTAGGCAGTCAAATTCTCCATCTTTCGTGAACCCAAAGTTTCATTACAGTGTTCACAAGAGCCCATCATTTGTTTCTATCATGAGCCTGATTAATGAGTCTGTACCCTCCTACCCTGTTTTAAAATCCATTTAAATATTATCTCCCTATCTAAACCTTGTTCTTCAAAGGGGTCTCTTCACTTCTGATTTCTGACAATGCATGGCCTACACTTAAATTCCTTGGGCAAAAGGAGGCTAACACATCTGACTGCTGGAAGAATATGTGGTGGCCATGTGTCAAGTGTTAGCAGCATTCCAGTTATTACCCATACCAGAGCCTCGCCTTTTTTAGCTTAAAGTCTAAAGCACAGAGGTGCTTGACATACATTGATTGCAATTTCCGGTTTCCATTTTAAAAGCTGCATTTCCTGTAAAATTTTCTGGCCTTAATATCATTCCAACCACTGAAACTGAGGTGAAAATTGTAATACAGTCCCTCAAGTCAAAAAACTCATCAGGTTATGATGAAATAACAAGTAAAATTTTGAAAGCTTGTTCAGCTTTAATTAGTCGTCCATTAACCCACATGTGTAATCACTCATTATACACAGGCATTTTCCCGGACCGCCTTAAAATATCAGTAGTATGACCGCTGTACAAGAAAGGGGACAAAACCAGTATGACAAATTACAGGCCAATTTCACTTTTAACTACTTTTTCTAAAGTACTTGAAAACATTATGTACAATAGATTAAGTCATCATATGCGTGCTAACAACATATTAGTCCCAGAACAATTTGGCTTCAGGAAAGGTGTATCCACTGAAGATGCGGCCTTCAAGCTAACAGACAATGTGCTTAAATCTATTAACCAAAAAATGCATGTTGGAGGAATTTTCTGTGATTTAGCAAAAGCTTTTGACTGTGTAAATCATGAAATTTTGTTGGATAAATTGCATTTTTATGGCATTCAAGGAATAGCAGCGCAATGGTTCAGATCCTATTTAACAGATAGAAAGCAAAAGGTCGAAGTAAAAGCACCTAAAAACAAACAAA